CTTGGATAGGTCATCAAAAGATTGCCGCAGCATCAAATGTGCCCACCCTAACAGTTTATAGCCCAATTATTTTAAATTTAAATGTGGAAAACTATGTCAGGGGAGAAGACATGAAGGTGCGTTGAGATAAGGGCCAGATATTATTACCATAAATAGAGAGCATGAGAGCAGTCTTTGATTAATATGAGATGCATCAAACCATCTGAAAGGTGTGCATCAACCACCAAACCGTCAGGTGCTCTATCATTTCTACAAGCAATTACTGCAGCACCAATGCTAAGAAAACTTCCCTTGGACCTGGACCATTTTCTTTCTCCTGGATGTGAGCAAGGTGTGGTGGTGTTACAGACTTTGCAGTTAACACGGCATACCACCTTTTCAGATTTCTTTGGGTTCCAAAACGGTCGCTTGCGACCCCCAAAATTTCCTCTTTCAGGAATTGATTTTGCTTCTTCTGATTTGACTTCTAAATATGCTATTTCTGCCTGATATGACCTGAATGATGCAACATATATAAATTAGCTACTACAAAGTTGAGCACATCTGAAAAAGTGAAGTAAAGGATCATTATCTAGTCACAATTCATTGGTAGCTAATGAAAATAATCTGCATGCATGGTGAATGTATAACCAATAACGAATCACAGACATGTTTATGATTTGAGCCCCAACATTCATTACTTTAGCGACTTACTTGTGCTTCAAAAACACCCTCGTTCCTGCATAATCATATCGGTTAGGGCCCATCCAGCGGTGTTTTTCACTCTCAGTAATGACATCTCCATAAAATCCATACCTACAAATATTGAACATATGAATTTTAGAGAAAATTGCTGATGAGAAATTCAAAATGAGAACCAAATTAGATAATTTTCCATTTCATCACCAGTCATTTATTTAGACATTGTAATGAAAAATACCCGGCAAAAGACGCTGCATAGCGCACAAAAGGTTCAACCTTCGATGTAGATTTTATTTTCCACCTTACAACTTGGGCTACATCAAGGCACACCCTTTTTCCAAGGACAATGTGAAATGTAGATGTTATAGGATCTCGAGTCCCAGTTGTGCTGACAAAAATAGAAGTGAGCACCTTACATTAGGCCAAAGAGAACAATATATGAGTAGGGTATGGTAAAATGGTCAATTTCTGTTCAAGTTTAACGTCAACTTGGACAATATTTTTGGTCCAAATCTAAAATGCTCATTGGGGAGGGAAAACTCAGAATCTTGATCTGTTGTGGTTTGAAAAGAAGAAAAAAATTATTCAAGTAATAGGCATTGGTAAATATAAACACAATATACTATTATAAAGTAATATCATGGTTTGTTAAATACAAAATAAATCAGCAAACAGGAGAAGAAATATCTCAATTCCTGTGATTTTCTACCTCCAGTGATATGTATGAAAACAACCTGTTACAAATATAAATCAAATTTAAACCTGACTCGTATGGAAATAAATTATTACGGTATATACTGATATTTGGGACGCCAGAGCTATCATAACTTGTGCTTGGGAGGAAAGGAGACTGCTGCTCATTGTTCTCAGAAGAAGTTCCAATAACTGTTGCATTTGGATCACGAAAACAGAAATTGTCATCACATGTAGCAGACTGAAGAAAACCCGAAGGAGTTGGTGGGTATGGAGCTTTATGCCTTGATAAAAGAAATCCATTAAGAATTTCATTGAAAAAACCATCACCACCCTGGAACCGAATCAATTAGCAAGTAATCAGTAATCAGGAACAAGATGCAAAAAGTTCAAAAATCTTTAAAAGGGAAAATGTGATACGTTAACATGTATTAACATTTTATGTAATACAGTATAAAGCTCAATGAACAACCAATTCCCTAAATCTTTTTATGTTACAGAGATTAAAGTGAGTCAAGGGAAGTTATAACTTACAACAGCTATAACTCCGTCATATGAAATAAGCTCCTTGATGCCTATAGATGCCATCACATCAAATGCGTGTCCTGCCCTTTGGGTCACAATCACCTGATGAAGGGATGGAAAACAATATTTAAGAAGGATCAATTAGCGCATTAAATATAATTGCATGTGATCTAGTGGTATCACTTCAAGGGAATTTTATAATCAAGGATTAGAGCAATCTAGAACTCTACCTTTGTTTTCACTTTAGCCCGGGAGAATATAGAAGCCACAGAACCCCAAGTTTTGCAGCCATTTCCCTTCCCACTCCTTGGATGAACAAAAACCTAGTCAATCAGAAAAAAAAAAATTCTGGAAAAGAATTATAATACCACTTTATGTCAATTTTGATCAGCCAACTAAAGAATTCAAGATCCAAACATGATCAACGATATAGTGATTAAAAAAAACTACCAAACATACCAGAAGATTCTTTGGTCTCCCCTGTTCTAGGGCCAGAGAAGCATTAATTTGATTAACCCACATCTGACATGTTTGGAGATCCTGATGACCGAATGTATATGCAACCAGGACCCGAAGAGAAGGGAGAGTCTTTGACCTCTGGAAACCATGCACTGTAAAGCGGTAAATCTGCATGTATGTAAACACAAAAACACATCATTATCTTATGGGGGAGTGAAAGCACACAATCAAGAACAGGAATTGAACAAACCTCCGAGTCATGACCCGAAAGGCATTTTCTAGCATTTGAAATGTTTGATCCATGAATCAAACCATAGTCGATCAACTCAACAGCATACACATCAGAAAATTTGATCTCGGTTGCAACCTTTGATTTGATGCCCAAACAAGTTGAGTCATCCTGATAAATTAGACAAAGAGAAAAAAATTCAAATGTTCATACTTCAACCTTATTACCAACTCATCATTTAACAATTATAAATGCTTTTTCGACCTATAATGCGGTATCCCAAATAAAGAAAATAACAAAAGTGATCATAAACTACTATTTCAATACAAAATGATCATAAACTACTATCAGACAAAAAAAAAAATCCTAAACTTCTATCAGAAATAAACAAATAAATAAATAAATAATTCAATCTGATCTAATATGCACAATTAAGAACATATTTCAATCTAGAGTTGATAAAGACGAACCTTAAGTATCAAATAAATCATTTTTAAGATAAAAGAAGAGAAGAGAAAGTAAAATTACATTATCCAGTGGCTCAACCAATTTCCAAGACAACCCATCTGAGTTGAAGGTAAGAGCGACTTCCCCAACGTGGTCCAAGGAAAGGGTGCAGCTCAAAGACGATGCCTGGCCATCGAACTGTGCGGGTGGGAGAGATTGCTCTGTTTGCATACAATCATCTACATCTCGTTCCATTCACGAGGTTTGATAATAATTAAAGATGATATTCAAGGCCAAAAAACTGAAGATTTTTTCAGATGGAATTCAAAAAACCGGTGATCGGGTTATGGGCTTTGGAGGAAATGCGTGAAAGTCGCTTGTTTTTCTTCTTTTCAATCCGAATTCCCCCAGCGAGGTGGAATTCGCGCTTTTATTGACCAAAAGTAGCCAGAGATATTTTGAGTTTGACCCAAAAATAAAAGCAAGAGATTATCCAATTCTAACTTTTAATTACTTTTAATTAGTTTAAAAGTTTAAAGGTATTTAATTGTGACTTTTAAATAGTCTTTAAAAGTTTAGTTTTATTCAATTGTGAGTTTTAAAGAGTATTTAAAAGTTTTGAGGTATTAGAGAAGGTCAGGGGTTCGATCCCTGCTCTCGTATGGAGTCACCACTTTGGCCAGCACTTTACCCCTTACGGGCCGACCCGGTGTGAGCGGGGATTAGTCTGGGTTGTGGTTAAGGCTTAAAGGTGCCACCCATAGTTGGGGCCCATCCAGGACCACCTCGTGGTTCAAACAAAAAAAAAAAAAAAAGTTTTGAGGTATTCAAAATGTTAATGACTTTTAAAAACTTAGTTAAATAAATGACTTTTCATCTATATATAATATATATAAAGCAAAAGACAGAGAATAATGAAACATTCAAAATACCAGAAAATGCCATTGATTAATTCAAATATTAAGAATTTAAATTATTAATTAAATAAGGATAATGTGATAAATTCATTTTTTATTTAAAAAATAAAAACAAAATCAGATAATATGTCCTACTTTTATGGAACATAACTATCGATGTTATTTTTTTTATATTCTAAAAATAAAATAAAAGAGAAAAAAGAAAACCAATTCACATGTGCCAAGGGGCTAGTTACTTTTAAAGCTATTTCTTACCACCAAAAGTCTTGCTAATTTACACCAAACTTTATGAAAGTATTGGGAAGCTAAGAAGATAGAAACGAAACGTCACCAATTTTTTCTTCCCTCATTATATCAAGCAGAGAGATCTTTTTTTCTTCATGATTAGGGCTCCACTTTGGTATCCCATCTTGTCATCCACTTCCTTCAGGTTAGTAAAAAATCTTGAATGTTTTTCTTCTCTTCTCATCAACAATAATGAGCATTGGAATTTCAAAAGGAATTTGTATTATGGTTTATTCACCGTCATTGAAATGAATCATGGCTAAGCTCACTATAAAAATAAAGAATCATGGCTAGCTGAACTGCAATTATTTTCTTGTGGTACATTTTCAAATGTACTTTGTCATTTTTATCATTTTCTAATGTTAAGGAGAACTATTCTTTGCTTTTACGTAATTGTATTCAGTTGTTTTTTTTTCTTTCTAATTTTTTGTTCCATGTATGCCGACTAGTTAATTCAAAAAAAATATTTTTTAAAGGTTAAATTTGGATCCCCCCCCAAATGTTTTTCTATTTTTTCTGGTTTTTTTTTTTTTTGGGTGGCCAATTTTCTTTATGGTTTGATGCCAAAAATCTAGTAATATAAAATAAAATTCATGAAAAGAAATCAAATAATAAAATATTTTAAAAATTGGAATTGCAAGTTGAACGGAAGGAGGTGAGGTCAATGAGATACTCAAATCGTTGACCTTCATAGAAACGACATGTCGTTATTTACAAGGAAAGGAGAGATTGTAGTCTGTTTAGGTATGTCCTGCTAAGACTCATTCAACAGAAAAACAGCCACAAAGTCCTCAGATATAAAAGTCTCCTCACAAGTTCAACAAAAGTTAATCAAAAGATGTTCTCATTTTGACGATAAGTTGAACCTCTCATCCAAGATTACACAGTTCAAAAAAAATATAATTCATTCACTACAAAAACTCTGTGGTGGAGAAAAGCATTGCAATGATGACAGACAGTTGCTTTGTCAGGGCACCACGGTGTAAACCTTTACATCATCCATTTCCGGGCTTCTTACTGAGTACTGAAACGTCCATCCATGGCAAGCACCAGCATGCACGCCCTTCTTATTGATGGCAAACACAGCTCCTACAAAATCAGGGAATTTTCTCGCAATTCGTGATATTGCATCCTTCGTCGCAAGATTAGGTTCCATCCCCAATCTCATACTCTCCACAACTTGATAACTGCAGTTCAATCATTTAAAGTACATAGCTAGATTCATTAAATGGAAGTGAAAGACTCAATAGAGGTGCATCTACATAAGTTTGACAAGGAATCTATTTCAATCATGGCCGCCAGCCAGAAAATTTAGGACTAAATGCACAAGGGAAAGTACAAAACAAAGCCTCCTTACACATACACAACATATTCATTATAGGTGAATGAACCTGCATAGGAACTACCCAAGTAGTTTTCAAACCAAGTAAACCAGAACTAAAAATGTGATGGTTCAGATTGGCTTGCTATGTTCGTAACTAAAGCCTCCGTGCCAGCTTACAATGCTTAACAAGCCTCCTACAGGTATGTTTTGTTCAAGAAGAGTATTTACTTTATGTTTAGGAAAAATTATCACACTGGATTGACTTCAACCTGTTCTGCAGATTAGAGTTTCACCCTGACCCCATAATGATTAATGCTATGAGAATATGCAAGTCATAGCCCATGATTCATCAAAATCTTAATGGAAAAATTCTGAACATAAATAATTGTTGATTTCATTAGGAGGAAAGCCTAATCATCTAAAATACTAGGATTTGCTGACCCAAATTGACATCCTTTAGCAATTTGCTCCATAAGAAAAGAACCCAACTAGGACCAAGACAAAAAATAACCAATAATTTAGTAAAATATATTTTTTCCATTACCATGGAAGGAAACGCATCATGATGTCACCATCTCCAGTTGCACCACAAGCACCAACTTCGTCATCAGCATATGCAGAAGATCCTGCAATTGGTCCATCACCCACCCTGCAGTCAAGAAAGCAATGCCTCTAGTAAATTGAAACTACGGATGGCATGATAAATTTCTCATTTCATCATTATTTGATTATTTTTTATGGGATTAATTCCTTCATAATTAATAGCAACAAATAGAGATGGATGAGAAGCTCACCCAATGTTGTCGAACAGCTTTATGACTTTGTTTGTACAGTATTTTACAAAAGCATAACCAATTTTCGCAAATAAGTACAAACGGTACTAGCATATAAATTTTTTATTAGAAAAGAACAGGGATTCAGCTAAGCAAAAACTTACCAATAAGACTAGAATAGTATCAACTAGTAGTATGCCTGAGTACAACTTACCTCCCTGGGATCTTAAATGTGGCTCCATTTGTTGAGGTACCAACAGCGATGTTCCCCATCTAGACCAAGAAAAGAAGGTAATTAGTGAAATCAAAGCATTTAAAGGAACCTTGCTAAGGTTATCAACTTACTTTATCAAAAACTGCCATTGATATGGTGTCATGGTTGTGACGACCAACATGAGATGATCTTGATTTAATATTTTCCATCAGAGTGGTTTTGGAACATGTCCCATGAGAAGAGCCCAGGAAGTCCTTTGCATGATAAGGGCCACACCTATCTACAGGTACAACATCTTTCCAAAAATTAGGCTGGCAGTGGTTTTCTTTCCATTTGGTCCACTTATCCATAGACTCCGATGAACTAAGGTTTGTTGGTCCTGGAAGACCCATAGAAATAGCAAAAGCTGCGGCTTGCTCTCCGACAAGCAAAGTGTGTTCGGTATATTGCATCACTAACCTAGCAGCTTTGATTCCATCCTTTATATACCTCATGGCAGCAACAGCTCCAACCTCCATTGTCACCTATGCATGTCCTTAGCAAACACATAATAGATAGTGATTTTTTGAGCAAGCAATAGAAAGGGGTGCAGTAACAAGAAAAATAATTGCGACAAAAGGAAAAATGCAAATACTACCTACCCCATCCATGACCAGAGCATCGATTGTAGTTTCTCCGTTCTCATCTGGACTCCCACCAGGGCCAACTGTCCCAATAATAGCACATATTATAATTTCTTAAAGTAATTATCAATCCCATCAACATGCTTAGCAGTATTCCATTTGAGAAATCACAAAATCAGTTACATAATTGAAGAGAAGATTTTAGTATGGTAAGAAAACAGAACTTACTTATGTTCGGTTATGATTTCATTTTTAAGAACTCACTCGATACTATAGACACATTCTAATATGATTTAAAGCTCCATTTTCATAAGAAGTGACATTGAAATAAGCTACATGATAGTATTGTTGTCAGCGAGATAATATTCATCCTGGTTTTCCAAGCACATCCAAGATAATAAAAATTAAACCGGGGTTTGTAACTCATTAATTAGTAGCTAACATGAACTTCACAATAAAGTAAAGACGCAACAAGTTCTCTGTCACCTTCATCTTCTATATCATGAGTTTTAGACAGACAAACAATTCTCTCCCTCCCTCCCTCCCTCCCTCCCTCCCTTCCTCTATAATGCTAATGCGCATAAATGATTAACCCAATGAAGCAGATAAAGTATCAAAAATCAGCATTTACAACTAAATACTGAAAATAATCAAATAATGCACCAATTCCTAATAACAGTTTTCTTCCATGAATAACTCAACCAAATCTAAGAATTCAGGCACCCACCTGTACCATCACATCTGAGTTCCTCGCAAGCTGAACAACCCTCAACAACGGCATCCACCGCAGAGAACCCATTATCAACAACCCTCCAAGCTGCTCTGACAGCCTCTAAGAATGGCCATGTGCTCACCACCACAGGGTATTGCCCGGAATTCGAAGCTTCGTGTCCCATGACCTATTAACCCATTCAAAATTTGATCTTCAATTAATAATTCTACCCAATCATATGTGTAATGAAAGAACCAAAATATAAGTGTTTGATTTCTGAGAAATTGCAATCTTGGACTTTTCCTCTGTTTTCTTAGCAATGAGATATGAAATAATCGAACAGGGTTAATAAGAAAAACTTAAAAGCAGATATCTTCGACTTTTCCTCTGTTTTCTTAGCAATCAAACAAGGAGAAATTGCAAAAGATAGTGTGATCAAATCAAATATGATTAAATTACCATGAAGAGTAATGCAAATGTAAGGAGAAAGATAGATGCGGAGTTCAGATTGGTGGCAGCCATCGAGTGGGGCAGCAAAGAGTGAAGGTCTTTCATCTTTCAAAAGCTCAGCTGCTGCTCTGTTATCTGTGCTGCTGGTCCTTCTTCAGGAAGAAGAACGAGTTTGACCTGCAGGTGATTCGGCTTGTCCACTTGAAGGTGGGTCAACTCAATTATGACTCGCTCAGTTAAATGTGCTTCGAGTGAGAATTACTTGGGCTTGGGCCATCTTTCAAACCCAAATAGATATTTTTGGGTCTTTTTAGACCCAAATAATTTTATTTTTTTGTGTAACCCATTCGAATAGGAAACCTCTACTTCCGATCTGTAGTCCAAGAGATCGGGACTGTCAGATTGTGATAGAAAGTTTGCTATTTCTTGAGTAGGTTTCCTAATTCTTCTTCTTCTTCTTTCTTTCTTATATTTTTTTCCTTGTGTTGAAAGGTTTCCTGATTCGAATGGGTTTGGGTTATATGAATGTTGTATACTTATATATAAAGGCCATCATAGGGTGTCTTCCATCCGTAGTGTGCAAAAAATTGTAAGGGAAATTAGTGAAGATAGAGAAAGAGAAGTACGGATATAGAGGCTATTGTTCTTCCATCTCCCGTGTTCATATGTGCGTGATTTTTATTAAAACAATCCATCTTCATCTGGTAACATAAATTTAACAAATACTTTGAACTCCTCACAGTTTTCCTTGTGCTGACAATTTGTAAATTTATTGCACGCATGCAGGTTTTTGAATATTAGCCATGGAAATTTCCGAAGATATACTTCAATATGTTTTCTCATGGTTACCAGCAAAACCTATTTATAGATTCAAAGCTGTCTGCAAATCTTCTTCTGAATTCTCAACAAACAAGTTATTTGCGTGGACCCAAGCACGTAACTTGCACGTCAAGGATGACTCAGGGTTCTTTATTCAACCTAGTATCTCCACCGGGTCCAAGCATCGTGACAAAGTAGAATATCACTCACTACCTGGTGAACAACTCTTCTCAGGTGTGCCCCAAAAATCTCTTCAGTTTCTCGAAAACACCGGATCAAAGGTCAATTGGCATCAAGTAATGGCTTGATACTTTGTCAAAACACCAAAACCCCAGATCATCATAACTTATTTCTTTGCAATCCCACAACACAATCTTGGCTAACCATTCCAACCCCACAAGGTTTAGGAGGAGTAAATTGGCCCAAAGGAGTTGTGCTTGAGTGCAACATTAACAATCCAATTTCAGACCCTGATCATCAAGACTATATGCTACTAATCATTCAGCCACCAAGAGATTGGTTACCCCACTATGAGTGCAAAATTTACTCGCCAAAAGAGGGCAGATGGAAGGAAAAAAAAGTTCATGAATTCAGTCGTATAACACTTCGCTTGATATGCCTGTTTATCACAATGGTGCTGTCCATTTTGTTTCAGATTGTGGAGATCCTTTGGTGCGCAGAGGAAGTGTATACTATAGGCCATATATTGTGGCATATGATATTAACAATGATACCACAAGAAAACTAAGACTGCCTAATGATGCAAGGAAGGGGTGGGATGATACTTTACACAATAGCAATTTGGGGATTTTCAAGTGGGGAAGTAGAAAAAGTTCATCTGAGTCAATCTGTTTGGTAAGGCTGAAGAAGTATGTGTTCACTGCATGGGTTTTGAGAGACTACAATTCGGTTTCATGGATTCGGATTATGAAAAGTAGGGTTAGAGCAATGGGGTTGATGGAGCCTAACCCTAATTATATTGCAGGGTTTACAGTCATGAATGGGAAGACTTAGCTATTTGCAACTAGAAAGAAAGTCTATAGTTATAATATGATGGGTCGAAGTCAACAGATTGAACAAGTTTGTGAGCATCAGTGTCAATGTGATAATCATTGGCACGTTTGTTTCACCTCCTATTCTAACACCCTTCATCCACTTGGAATTGGTGCTGCAACATTGCCCGACATCTAGAAAGCTTTCCCATGATTATTGTTTGTTTGTTTGTAGTGTTTTTTTAAGGATGGGGTTATGAGATTTTTTGTTTTCTTTGTGGAAGGGATATTCTATTGCTTTGATTTTATTTCTTGCTCAAATACAATATTGGTGATTGATGATATTATCAAAAGATATAACGGGGATAGAAACGTAATTTTATCGTCTATTTTGAGCAAAGAAGAAAAGGCGGGGTCGTGGGTGTTGCCACTAACCGTCCAAACTGCCACTTTCCGGATAGTGGCATAAAAGTTCCAGTGTTTCTCATTTACAATTAGAGGATCAATTAACAAGGAGATCATTAAATCAGGCTCCTCTAATTTCATCATCTTTGAGGCTTGACGGTCCCACTCAATCCTAATCCTAATAAATTGATCATCTAACGGCTGACCTTAATTCATTGGTAACACTAGCATCCATGAGATGAGCCATGCAAACCCAAGTATATATGCTACATATCAAAAACTCAAATTCAAAATATCCTTCTCAATAATTTCATTTTTGCAAGAAACCCAAATGAATTTTCGTAAGAAAATCGATGGAAAAGTATATGTTATGGAGAATTTGGAGTGAAGAAAATTACTGATCTCCAAAAAAAAAAAAAGACTTTGTTCAAAAATGGAGAGGCCAAATGCATACGTTAAGAAGGGGCCATGGACTGCTGAAGAAGATGAGGTACTGATAAGTCATGTGAAGAAATGTGGTCCAAGAGATTGGAGCTCCATTCGATCCAAGGGCCTTTTGCCACGAACTGGAAAATCATGTCGTCTCAGATGGGTTAACAAGCTTAGACCCAACTTGAAGACGTAAGCCCTCATAATTTATATTAGCAAACACTAATTTTTATATTCCTGCTTAAGATTGATGCTAACGATACGAAAAATGTGAACTTTACTACGAAGTGGAAGCAAGTTTTCAGCAGAGGAAGAGAGGATGGTGATACAACTGCAAGCACAATTCGGGAACAAGTGGGCGAAAATCGCAACGTATTTGCCAGGGAGAACAGACAATGATGTAAAAAATTTCTGGAGCACGAGACGGAAGCGGTTCGAGAGGATTTTGCATAAATCAACATCACTACAGTCCCAGAACAACAAAGGAAAGAGCCCTCTTGTCCGTCATGAATTACCAGAGCTCAAGGTAGCAATTAATGTTGTCAAACTTTCTAGACAGAATGTTTATCGGGTGTGTTCCATTTACAATTTTTTGATTTTCAGGTTCCTTCTTATCCATGCAGTTCTGCTATTGAGGAGGGCACATCATGCTGCAACTATGAAACCCACAATTGCTTTTCAAATTCTCAAGAGTTCAGAATGGTGCCCCTGCCAGATTTGGTAAAACCAAACCTGCAAAATGTGGAAGCAGAGCAGCCAATATTTGAGGCCACGCCCCTTCATATGATCTCGCCGATTGATTCCCCACCACACTACTCTCTGTCTCAGCTCCCTCAGCCCCAACTGGACCTTCCATTTTTGTCAGAATGCAAGGAACTTGACCAAGACCCTATGGCTCCCGACCTGTTGGACATGTTTGGGCTTACTGAATGTGAAAGTGGCCAGAAGTTCTTTAAGGAGAATACTGCAAGTACCAAGCTAGGAGAAGTAAAAGACCTTTCGATCCCCAACATTGTTTTCGATGATTTCCCACCGGAGATGCTTGATTATCTTGAAACACTTACAAGCTCGTCGGAGTTATAAGTTCTTGGGAGCTTGTCTTATGTAACTACTATTTGGTATGTTGGTGACTTTGCTTTAAGAAAGGGAACTATTGCTGATTTACTGGGACACAAATACCCAACAGACATGCAGATCCTTTTTCTTCAATAAATATATATATTTTTTAATTGTTGAATATCCGAAAAAGTTACTTCTTTGTACAATGCGCTAGTCGAATAAAGACCTAGTCTATACTGCCAGCTAAAACCACCGTAAACTCAGTATAAACTGATATTATTAAGAAATTTACATACTTCAATGGTGATGCACTAACACCTCCTAAAGTAAAAAATAATGCAAAAACCAATCACAAGTCCAATTTGTATTAAATCCAAGCTTTTAACAGCTGCACACTAAACACACAATAGCTTCTCCCCTAGCAAGCAATTCATGGTTGACGGTACTCCAAATAGAAATAACGTTTGAACCTTCTCACGGTTGGAAAAGATCCAAACATCTTCTACTTTGTAATCGTCATCTCAACCAGACCTGATTTCATTCTGGAAACATTAACAGTTGGACAGTCCAACTCAATTATCCCATGCTGTATGAGGAAATAAGCAATTTGTGTCATCTCCAAATTGTTTCGTTTGCATCTGTGAAAATGGCATTGTGATGTCCCATAAGGCACTGGACAACCTCAATAGCGCCGAAGTCAATGGGCACGCCATCATCCAAGGGAATGGAATCATCTACAGCATCATCTTCATCTGAATCCACAACAAAGATGTAAAGCAAAGGAACAAAGAAAAAAAAACAGAATAACTTCTTTCAAAAAACAAACAATATAAAACCTATTTGTTTCCTATAATTTGTCTAACACAGGAATAATTTGCTAATGAAAAAACAAATAGTTTACTTTCTTTCTTTCTACAATTCAGTTCTTCTTCAAACAATCAGCCAATGTATTTTGACCTACTGATATGATTTACACATTCATATGGTTAGAGGGAGTAATAGAAAACTTTATATGCTTTAGCTTTAGGCTTTTCGTTTTTCAATGAAACTTTGGCATCGTTAAACTTCAACTAAAAAGAACGAATAAATATGACTACTTTCACCAGTCAAATGTAGAAACAACAAAGATCTCACTGTTCCATTTCTTCGCCTTTTTTTCTCTCACATATAACATTTGAAAAAGTGTAGTTAAAAGACGTCAAAGGCATCAAATTCAGCATAAGTATATTGAGATTCATTCCAATCTCATTCTACAAGTGTTATAAGTATGCATTATGCATAAACTGCTCCTATTTGAAACAATATACATTGCAATATTTCTATCATCTCTGCATTTGAATAGAGTCCAATTGAATCTGGTATTTATGAGAATGAACCACTCACCAGAAAGCATGTCCCAAGCACTATAAGTTGGCTCTGGATCCAAGTTCTTCTTGGAAGGACCTTTTGATGGTTCAGTCCAATATTTCCTATATAGGTCTGGTGTCCTGCCCTTCTGCCAAATTAGAACAGGGGCCATCTCCATTGCAAGGCTTTGGGTGTCCATCTGTATAAAGTTATCAACTATTTAGCATGCTTATCAAATATCTGGCTATGAATAACCAATCCATGTCTATAACAGGGAGAGAGAGTGTGTGTGTCCTGCCTTGTTAAGAACCGACTTCTGGCTAACGCGGAGCAGTAGTGCAGTAATAAATTCTAGGGTCGTGTAGTTTACAGTTGGAAGCCTCCTCAGCATGTTTCTCATCGCATGTATGCTGGAACGAGCACCTTTGATCTCATTATAAAGCTCAAATGTGGTTAGTGGCTCGGGAAGGGGAGCTAGGTAACATTTGATTAGAGCTGCTATGTCAATTGGATTTATTCCCTCTGGTAATGATGCATTTGAATCTGATATATGCAATATTACAACATTAGATTAATGTCGTCCAAATTGAACAACTCAGAAAACTTTGTTCAAAAGACAGAAATAAAAAGAAAACACAAACACACAGATATGTCAGATACCTTGGTTGTACTGTGAAACCAATTGTTGAATGACTTTTTTATCTCCCTCCCCTTTAAATAGGTATGGTGTGTTTAGTCCTAGAAGCAACAAACAATCAAGAACAAGTTAATCGTGCCTGAAATAAACGTATACAGATCAGAGAAGTGTAGGTTCTTAGATTGCAGTACCTGATAATATGAGATAATCTGCACATTTGACCAAAATATGAGGAATGGGCCTGCTAGATTGCTGCCGTTGCACAGTAACTTCAATTGGAACTCCAAAAACTGAAAATAAACGTTTAAATTAGCGCAAATGAAAATTAAACTTAGGATCACTATCCATTCCAGGATTAAAAGCGACCACCATCCTAGTATACAGAGCTTGATCATTAACGCACAAACCAAACGGAGATGTAGAGGATCCACATTTTCACCATTCTTCAAACAATGGGAACTAATGAAGTTTATGATTATACAAAATCCACCTTACAGCTATGCATATGTACAAAGTCTAGAAGGAACCCCGTGTGACTTACCATCAGTGCTTGCAACACCCTGAAAATGAAAAAACAAGAATAAGAATTTTTAAATTTCTATAGGAAAAGAAGAAAAGAAAGGTAACAATTTTCTCAAAATTACATACCTTCTGCCATCTTTCAATGTCACTCAAAATAGTTTTGCTCTTTTGGGCAGTCTTCTTTGCCACCTGAAAGAAAAGTCACCAGTTCAAGTGTTTCAGTTATCATCTCAACTTAAGAATCATGCCTATTTTATGGATGATGCAAGCTCATATTGTCAAGCTCTAGACAAAATCCAAATCAGCATTTACAGAAGTAAGAATTTATTGTCAAAACCATTCAACGTTAGCATGAGAGCTTGTAGGTTTTAACTTTCATAATAACTGGAAATCTGTACAAGCCTTAAGTTGGATATAAATCACTTTCACCTATTAAAGTTCTAGCAAAACTACCTCTTCAACTTTTATCTTCCCAACAGAAACCTTGTCTTTTGTTTCTGATAAGCCCTTCCTAAACAATGTCCCGGTCGTAGCAGCAGCAGTTATAAGGCGTTCCTGCACAGCATGTCTTGTCGATGGTTGCTGAAGAAGCGCCCAACGACTTTTGAACATTGACCCTACACGTTCTGCCATATCAGTTACATTAACTTTTGCATCCTTAGTGACCTCTTCAACAAATGTTCCAGCAGATTGTCCAGCTTCTTTAAGCTTCACCCCTTCATTAAGACTTAGCTATAGTTAAACAACAATTTTAAAATAAAATAAAAAATAAAAGATAAAAAGAGTAAACAAGAGAAACTGTGTAATCAAAAAGTACCCGAGGTAGAAAAGAAACCACTAGCCTTCTCTTGCCACCGGGGTGACGTTGCAGAAGGCATTGAAGCAGTTGAACTAACCAGAATTAAATTAGCCTGTTTTAAAGGAAAAGCAGTATAAAAAATGTCAAAGAAGGCTGAAAACTACTAGTTTGTGGAGGTTCTGCTAATTTAAGGAAAAAAAAAATTACAATAAGCTCAGCATGTTTTCTCACTTTGGTTACAAAAAAACTAAGAAAAGGAACCAGCTTTGGATGCTAAGGAAATGAAAGAAGATCAAATCCCCTCCCAAAAAAAAAAAACAATTAAGGTCTTTCTCTTCTTGTTACTAAAAAGTAAAAAATTTAAGCTCTACTAAGTCATTCAGCTTCAATCAATTATATTTCATTGTCACCGGATAAAGATTTAGGTCCTCTTTCTTTTGGTAAATAGATTTAATTCCTCTTTCAACAACAGTCCAATCCTCAAACCCTACTTCCTTTTGGGTACAAATACAAATAGCCCAAATCAATATCAATCGCAGCCTGATCAAACATGGAACTAGACAAAAAGAAACGAACAGTACTAATACCGTAATACTTGAAGATAAGTTAGTTTCCAATATTCAAAGACAAACGAAACCCTAATTTTAAACTAATAACGAATTCATAAAAAAAGATTACCTCTTTTGAGATAGCTGATCAAGGAAGCTGGAAGCGAAAGGCAAAACAAGCTGAAACATGAAAGTTGAAATTGAAAAATAAAAATCCCTTTTTTAAAAAGAGATACAGACTACAGAGAGAGAGAGATAAAGAAAGTCATCCAATTTAGGAAATTCAAAATAAGGCGCTTCTCTGCGATTGGCTGGGCTGTCAGTCGGGTAAACCCGCCAATAGTGTCCCGCCACGTCGGCGCTCACTTGAAATAACGCGGACCAGGATTCTGGAGGGTACTTCAACTGAACATAACCGTTGTGTGCGTAGACTGAGATTAACATCTTTCTTTTGTTTATAGTAGACTGCAGTGTCCCTATCACTGTTTTATTTTTATTTTCATGAAACGGTTGCTGCTGTGCCTATTTTGAAGGTCCCACGTTTTGACATTTTGTGTTTTATTGGGTCTCCTACTTGCAAATATAAAATCAATGGAACCAAATCTATTAATATTATCAAGTCGTGTTTGAATGTGTTATCTTATGGATGTGACATAAATTTACAAAATTCAACTACGTGGTCAGCCACAAAAAAGATAATATTACTATTTGTCAACTATATAATAGGCGCGAGGAATTTGATTAAGAGTATTCATTTCTTACACTTGAGGTTCTAAGGTTTTATTATTCTTTCACTTAATATCGCTTGTGTATAAATAAAAATAAACTATGTAATACATAATTTGCTCACTCTTTTTGTACTGGTTGTATTTTATTATTTATATTTTTTTTCTTTTTTGTTTGTAAGAACCCTCCTCTAGAGCAGTGTTCTTTATGTGTAATCTTGTAATTGCCTTTCATATGAATGAATCTACCCTATTCTATAATTTTAAAAAAAAAACTATGTAATACGTAATTTTTTTATTTATTTAATTGGAGACTATGAATGTACTTTATTTACCTTGATGAATTATGATGAAAATGTTTTGGTATTATTATAATTTGAAAATGTGTCATGTCTCAAAAGGTACGGGGCCAGAGCTAGCCCAATAGATCCAAATAACTTAAACAGGAGCCCAACATCAAAATGACATTAGAACCTCAAAACGAAAACAGAAAGGGCCTTACTTCTTTTTATTTTTTTATGTTTTTTTAGGTCAATAGAAGCTTTCATTCAAACCGAAAGAAAGACAACAAAGGGGAGAAACAGACTAACCAAAGACAGAAAGAAAAGGAAACAACAGCAACAGCAGCGAAAAAACACACAACAGCTAGAATAACAAAGGCTAGAGACCGGTAACTATGAAAGGGCCTTACTTCTATATCTATACATTTGAGTCATTACAATTTACAATACAACTGCATCAAGGCGCTTCTATCTTAGCGTCCTTGCTAAAATCCCCCACAATTCTCCTCCAAAACCAGTGCTCCACCCACACCATCTCCATCTTCTCAATAGGCACATTCTTCGTCTCCGGCAAAAACAAGTAGACGAACACGGTCATCACCGACACCCAACCCCCAAAAAAGAAGAAAATCCCTGACTTGAAGTGGCAAAGCATTGCTAGAAAAGTTTGAGCAACAATGAAAGTGAACAAAAAATTCACAACCACATTGATGCTTTGCCCGGCTGATCGAATTTCCAAAGGGAAAATCTCACTAGGCACCAGCCATCCAAGAGGCCCCCATGACCACCCAAATCCTGCTACATATATGCATATCAAAACCAGCACTAAATATGCATACCCTTTGCTCACTCCACCATGATCACCAAGCTGAGCTGCCATCACACCCCCAATCATAATTTGTGACACCAACATTTGAATTCCCCCTACCATGAACAAAGCTCTTCTCCCAAATTTGTCCACTATGAGCATAGATATGAAGGTTGAGATTGTACCAACTACGCCAGTCATGACAGCAGACAAAAGCGATGCGCTTTCTCCCAAACCAATTGTTCGAAAAAGAATTGGGGCATAAAAGGCTATGACATTGATCCCTGTCACTTGCTGGAAAAATGGTATGGCTATTGCCATGACAAGTTGAGGCCTATACATTCTCTCTAAGATTTTCTTGAAAGGGTGTTTGATAGTTTTCGATACGTTGTTTGCTTTGATGAGATCTTCAAGCTCTGCTTCTACATCATTGACCCCTCTGATGCGCTGTAACATTTGCTTGGCCCTTTGGTGGTCTGTGCTGCGTTGAATGAGACTGTTTGGTGTTTCAGGAAGGAAAAATGCACCAAGTGTTAGCATTGAGGCAGGGACTGCCGCCATGGCTAGGGAGATTCGCCAACCCCAACCGGCTTTGATCTTTTCAGTGCCGTAGTTGATGAGGTTAGCTGACAGAGCACCAATGCCAACACTAAATTGGAAGCCATTGTTAATTGCTCCTCTGTGTTTTGCTGGTGCCATTTCCGAAAGATACAAAGGAACAGCCTGCACAAAACAAATAGATTATGCAACTAAGTAACAAGAAAAAACCTGCATTTGGTTTAGGGGCAAAAATACTACCTGATTAGCAAAACCAACTCCAACACCAAGCAAGATGCGACCGAGGATTAGCATGTAGATGTTCAAAGCTGCACCGTTTAAAGCCGAACCAGCAAGAAATGCAGCACCCCCAGCAAGGATTGAAGGCTTGCGGCCATAAGCTCTCGTGACCAAACTGGCAAAAAGGGAAGCTAAAAGGCCAGCTATGTAGAGTGAGGATGTGAAGGAGGTCAACAATTCGCTATCAAATTTGCAATAGTTGCTGATTTTCTTGTCGGATTTCATCCTGGTGTACACTTCTGGGAAGAACTTTTTGAGAAATGGCTCCATTGATGTCACTCCACCTTCACATATAGCAGTTTACTTGCATAAAGTTTGCCGACTTTAACATTATATAGTTCTGCAAATTTAAATGAACTTATTTGAGTATGAAATTTAGACCTGAAATTCCAATGTCATAGCCAAAAATAACTCCTCCTGTGGCTGCCACCATGCAAGAGAGGAGCACAAATGGTGTCATCTTGCCATTATATCGCCCTCCTGCACTTGATATTGCCAACCCAACTGCCATGGCTAGCTTCTTCCAAGCTCACCCACAAGAGAGCACAGAGAGAGGGGAAGAGAGAATTCAAAGATGTAACTTGTACAAAGAGAACTGCAAATGTAGAGCAGTCTTACTTGACTGGTTGAGATCAAACAAATCTTTTTGGACCGATTGCAATCACAATCTCTATCAGACACGTCATGTTACAAAATTCAATATTCAAGCAGGACCATTCAACTTACCAATCTTTGGGACAGAAGAGTACTTCTACGCGACAATGTGAATTATTGGAATTATTGGAAGTTTGGAACAGAATCTTTTATTTTTCCACATAAATAAAGTAAAATATTAGGGAAGGAAGAAAATACAATAAAAGAACTAAAAAAATAGCCATATCCATGCTTGACCAGCAATGTTTAGCTTAGAAGCTGCCAAAAACTGGTGCTTAAAAAAAACCTGAGCTTTCCTTGGTTTTGCCAAGTGTCCTTGATATGGGCAAATTACTAGTCACTTATCAGAATGCATGATTATTAGGCATTTAGCATAAACTAAGCCTGTTAGCTTAAATTAAGGTCTAATTCATTGGTTTAAGATATGATTTCTTTATATTCAGACACGCCGAGTAAGGGCAAACCGTCATAGGACTCTCTCATGTGATTTGTTTTTTTAGTAAACTTCTACATATGGTCCCAAATTACAGCACGCCAATAATCCAATTAACCTCTAACCTTTTTGGTTAGATGGGTTAACAATAAATTTACCACATCATTAATTACAGCTTAATTAATTACTATCCTCCCTCACTTATCGCACAAATCTGTTCCAAAACCAATGCTCTCTCCACACCCTATCCATCTTCTCAATAGGAATATTTGCAGTCTCAGGCAACAAGAGGTACACAAAACCAGTCATCACCATAACCCAACCTCCAAAAAAGAAGAAAATACCAGACTTGAAGTGACAAAGCATGGACAGAAATGATTGAGCAATAACAAAAGTCGACACAAAGTTTACTGCCACTGTAACACTTTGCCCAGCTGATCTTATCTCCAGTGGGAAAATCTCACTTGGGATCAGCCACCCTAGTGGGCCCCATGACCAAGCAAACGCAGCTACATACACACACACAAAGATCAGCACCAAATATGCATACCCTTTGTTCATTCCACCAATGTCGCCTAGCTCAGCTGCCATTATGCTCCCTACTATAACTTGTGACACAAACATTTGAATTCCCCCTATTGCAAACAGAGCTCTTCTGCCTAGTTTGTCCACCATAAGCATTGATATAAACGTCGCGCTGGTACCCGCAGCGCCCGTGCTCATCACAGCTGACAAGAGTGACATGCTTTCACTTAGACCAAGTGTTCTAAAAAGTATCGGGGCATAAAATGAGAAGACATTGATCCCAGTCACTTGTGTAAAGAATGGCATGGCAATTGCCATAACAAGTTGAGGCCTATATTTTCTTTGCATCAATTTCTTAAAAGGGTATTTGATGGTTTTTGAATTTTCACTTGCTTTGATGAGATCATCCAGTTCTGCTTGGACATCTTCGCATCCTCGTGTTCGTTGTAGCATTGACTTGGCTTTTTGGTGGTCGTTGGTGCTTTGGATAAAGCTGTTGGGTGTTTCTGGCAGGAAAAGAGCACCTAAAGTTAGTATTGAAGCTGGGACTGCTGCCAAGGATAGGGAGATTCGCCAGCCAGAGCCGCCCGTGATCTTTTCGGTGCCAAAGTTGATGAGGTTAGCTGATAATACTCCAATGCCAACACATAATTGGAAGCCAATGTTGAAAGCTCCTCTGTGTCTAGGTAGTGCCATTTCTGAGAGATAAAGTGGGACTGACTGCAAGGATATGTTTGATTGTGTGGAACCAAATGTTATAGCACATAATATTATTGAAATGTACATAAAATAAACTATGGAACGTTTTCTCTGCCATGTGTCACAGGTCGCACATAGACAAGTGCTACCGTGACTCCGTTGGAACATCTATGCGCTTAAGAGGTAGTCTAAGTGTGGAAAAGGCTAGAGCTTAAGAGCTAGAATGGTTGGTGTTGGCCAGGTTGCACTTGTGAAGGATATTTTAGGTATTTCTGAAGGTTACGGGAGGACCCTGAAGAAGCTAAGAATACCGGGACGTTCGTAATGTTAAGACGCAGGAAACGCAACTGACGGTTCACCATTTGGAGTTCGTATGAGGGAGTTATGCCCAATTATGACTCATCGTGCATAGGTGATGTTCCCTCCTGACAGAAGGCTAAATGCATAAAATGCTATATAGGGGTGACATGGTGTCATGCTCTCCACCACCCCTGGTGCTTACACCCTTGTGGCACTAAGCGAGCATCCTTATGACATTGGAGGTAGTCATAAGGGCGGACATAAGATTGTTGAAGGATAATCTGTGTCTCCGAGGGAAAGGAATTCCCGAGGACAGTACGAACACGCGGGGCCGTTCGTATTGCGCATCGTGGTAAAGAGTGAGGTCAACGTATGGCATTCGCTATGCCATTGGCTAGCGATGCATTTGACAATACTCGATGGACTTGGCTTGGGTTTGGCCTTGTCCAAGATGGAAGGAAGGTATTCGGATGCCGGTACGCATAGGTTGCGACCCCATGCAATGCATAGAGGGTTATGTGGGACATTCAGAATACATATGTCGCCAAGGCTTGGGCGACATGCAAGTATGACAGCTTGCGTGTATAGCTTGAGGATGTGGGCTATCGTGGATGCTAAAGGAATGAATGACAGAAGTGTGGGTAAACCGATGGTGTGTTGGATCGCTATGTCTTGACTTGGACATGAGCGAGCCATGAGTTAAGCATGCGACGTGGTCGATGCAGTTGACGTACTGGGATCTGAAGGGATCCTAGGCCGCACGGGTGTGCTTTGAGTGGCGAAATTAAGCTCTAATGATTCGAAGAAGGATGTCAAAGAGCCGATCAACTCAGATGGTGGCTTCTGCTCAAATGATTCGCACCTTTGATACAAATAGTGAAGCTCTGATCCCAGGACAAATGGTATTAGGGTTGATCGATTCAGATGGTGGTTTCTGTGTGAGGGATTCGTACCTAGAAGAGATTGGTGTTGGAGAAACTTTGATAGCAAGGTAGCATGTCATTGCCTGTGATGGGTAGTGGACTTGCGAAGTTGGATGAATAACCCAACATCACTGTGGATGATTGTTGGAATCAGGTTGTGTGACGGTCGTTGGAAACCCGTCTTCGTGCTGGATCCTATGGAAGGGTGAAGGTATTCAAAAAGATTGCCTCGAAGTTCTGAGAAGACATCAAGCATGATGACTCTAAGATGTGGGATGATGGTTGGTTTTGTTGCTCGTTTGCCTAGTTTTCTAATCCGTGCACCAAGCGCCCGGAAGTCGGGTAGGCAGGGATTCTGACTTGTGACGAAGTGATGTTGCTTGTTCAGTTTAGGATGTGGCAAGGATGGGAGCGCGAGTTTGGCGAGAGTGTTGAAAATTGGCTAGCACTCGAACCATGACATACCATTGAAGGTTGTAGTAAACTTTGTTGGCAACAAGTGTTGGGCAGACAGTGCAAGACCCTTGTTCAGGGAAGATTTGTGAGGGCGGAAGATCGAAAGGGGGCTGTCTTTGAAGGAAGTAAGTTGCTGACAAACTAGGCTTTATTGAGGGAGTAAGTTGCTGAAGGACTAAGCTTTAAAGAAGAAGTCTCTCGAGTGGTTGCTCTTGCAACTGTGGAGAACGTGGGGGCGATGCATAATGTTTGACACATGGTTGCGAGCTAATATTCGAAATGCTGGAATGTTCCAAAGGTGGATCCCAGAGTCTTTCTTGTGAGGATGGTGGCTAAGGACACAGTACGTCCGCACTTTGTAGGAGGCCGAAGATGGAGTAACTTGAGGGAGGATGTCTTACTTGTTCCCTTGGGGATGCTACGGAAGTATGTTCTGCCAAGTTCAAGTTTGGGCGTGGGTTAGGTGGTTCTGCTCGTAGTAGGGATGACATTGAACCTTGGTGAGTTACAAAGGCCTAAAGTGTTGTAAAGCTTTGCTTCGGAGGTACGTTGACGTGAGGATGCGTCGACGAGATAAGTGGGGGAGACCCACAAAGTTCATTGAGGACAATGGCAGCGGAACTTGGTGAGAGTGCCGAAGATTGGCAATACTCAAACCATCGCATGCCATAAGTGGTTGTGTTGAAGTTGGTTGGTGATGAGTGTTGAACGGATGGTGCAAGACCTTTGTTCGGGGAAAGGTTGTGGGAGCTCAAGACCGAAATAGTGCAGTCTTTGAAGGGAGTACGTCGCTGACGGGCTAGGCTCCATTGAGGAGGTAAGTCGCTGACGGGCTAAGCTTTAATGAAGGAATCACTTAAATGGTTTCTCTTACAATTGTTGAGAACGGGTGGGTGAGGCACAATGGTTGACACAAGGTTGCTAACTGATTTTCGAAACGAGGGAGTGTTCCAAAGAGGTAGATCCCGAAGTCTCACTTGTGGGCATGGTTTCTAAGGACATGGAGTCTGTTCGCACTCGATGACAGACAATGTTGGAGTAACTTGGGTGTTGACAGCTTACTTGTTCCCGTGGGGATGCTATAGAAGTGGTTCTGCCGAGTCCGAGTTTGGGCGTTGGTAGTCAGGTAGTTCAACTCGTAGTAGGGATGATGTCTAACCTTGGTGAATTGTGATGGCCTAAGTGTGGTGGAACTTTGATGTGGATGCACCTTGAGGTGAAGGTGTACCAACGAGATAAGTAGGGGAGAACCTTGAATGCCTTGAAGTATGGCAGTGCAGGAGCACAAACAAATGGAGGTGCCGTGGAGGACACACGGTTGGCTTTCGAGTCACGCCCGGGCGGGGTGCATCTCTTTAATATGGAAAATGTGGAAGTACTTGACCAACGAACTAGGTGGTTGTTCAATGGTTGAGTGTGACAAGAGACAGAGGTCTCGGCCCAAGAGAGGGAAAGGAATACAACTTTGAAAGATAAGTTAAGAAGGGTTAAGGCAGTGGTGCTTTGTGGTCCTCGGAGATAAGAGAAGAGAATATTCCTATATGGTGTTGTTATGCAACAATGCAGTGGGCATTTCGACGAGGACGTCGCCATTATCAGTGGGGGAGAATGTCACGGATCGCACATAAGTGAGTGCTATCGTGATTCTGAAGTCGACAGTGCAGTGGGGCACGTCGACGAGGACGTCGACACTATCCGTGGGGGAGAATGGCACGGGGCGC